AGTTTAAGTTTTACCTTCATTTAATAAAAAATGATAATTAAGTTTTTATGTAGATTTATCAAAATTAGAAACATTTTCTTACCATATGTGTGAGTTTATTGTTATTTCTCTAAATGATTTTTATATATGAGAAGTTTTGATAAATACTGAAATGGACTACATTCCATAGAGTCCAAAATGAAAAAAATGATTAAATAAACTGAGATTTTACAATAATTTGTCTTAAATTCCGTTGATAATTTCAGTCTATGTTCTAATTATTTTCAGATCTTTGCAGTTTGATTATCCTAAATTGGCTCATCCCTGAGCTAATTTAAATTGTGAATTAATCAAATAAAACTTTTAGTTTCCTCAAATAGCCAACCTTTATTTGGTATTGTGTTTTTTTTCCCAAAAAAAGCCTTGAGATGACTTTGTAAGTGTGTACAATATACAACAGCTACTTAGATTAGATCATTGGGTTTACTTATTTGTTTTCTTGTGTAGCGATGCTTGCTTGGTTGTGTAAGTGGGTTGTTGGGTGCAGTATGCAGCCTACATTAGAGTTCATGTCTGTAGGTGAAGTGTTTCTTTTTTCAGCACTTGAACTCTCTGTTCTTTCTCCCCTCACTAAAGCATTTAACTTCTCTAACCTTGCATGACACTAAAAGATGGGGCTCTTATTCTCACGCCACACAAACTGTTTTTATTTTTTTCCCTGCACACTCCGGTGATCTTTTATTACCAAACTTCATTTTTTTCTCCCTCCTTTGTGTGTCTACTTACCCTCTCTCCCACTCAGAAGTAAAACACCGACGTACTCTACTCATGGAGCTGACAGCCTACTCAACATTTATTTTAGCTCTATTTTTTTATTTTTCTCTTGCTGAAAAAGTGAGCCATCCTCTGAATTTTTGCGTACACCAAACTGTTTTCTTCAGTTTAGGATAGGGGTGAATAAACTCAAACCTGTGATCAATAGCTGCTCTGAAACGGGATGAGCTCCTGTCTTTGTCACCGTACAAGACTTCAAACTCCGTGTAGTCCCTGTTCAGACCTGACGCTAACATCCATCTCAGATAGTTTGACTGCTGCTCTGACTGAGAGCATTGCAGCCTGGTAGTAAAACATGTAACACAAAATGCTTTTGTAATCAGATGTGAGTTACTGGCTCTGTTTGCAGACCTGGCCACATTGCAGTTAAATGTCAGCTAACAGATATTCTGCTGATGTTTGTGTACAGAGTATAATGAAGATGCTATTTTGACATGAACATGATTCGGAACATTTTTTTGTGTTTATTTAGTAAATAACTTTTAATAATTACTTAACAGTCACAACATGGTAGTAATAAATGAGCATTAAAAAGATTTCAGAGATTTCGGAGCAAAGACTGAAGGTCTGAACCTATAAAACCCCATCTCAGTAAAACGGTGCACTGACAGCCACCATCTGTTTGAATGTAACATCAGTGCTGTACTAAGTTTGGCTAATACAGGTCCTTTTCAAAAAATTAGCATATTGTGATAAAGTTCATTATTTTCTGTAATGTACTGATAAACATTAAACTTTCATATATTTTAGCTTCATTGCTCACCAACTGAAGTAGTTCAAGCCTTTTATTGTTTTAATAT